ATTAGCACATGCGCTTATGTAAATTACCACGATGTTTCTATGGTAAAAATAAGAAATTTTTTTTTATTGAGATATGCTTCTGATGGAGCAAATTGGATAAGTATCTTGATCAAAATTGTTTTTAAAATGTATGATAAAACCTATGCTGGTTGACACAGCAGAGCTGTTCATATTACTGATTTTACGTCGTCGTCTTCGAAACCGCAAGTCAGAATGTTTTCAAATTTGATATGCAAGTACCTTGGATGGTTCTTTCTCAGATTTTTTAATTTTATGTCAAAATCTCAAATTCTCTATTTTTGCAATTTTTGATAAAAAGTGATATTATCGAATCCTTGTTGAAAACAGCAAGTCCAATTGCTTTGATACTATACATATTGTTCATTTTCTAATGATATCTTCGGTTCTTTAATTGCGATGTGCATTGTTAACAGCAGTGCTCTCTCAGCCGACAGGCTGCTTGTTTGAAAATTGTATCTACTTTATTGATAAGATAAACTTTTTTTAGTTTTTCATATATAATAAATTTTTGACCAAAATCTCTTTCCAGGATTGGGACCTCAGTCCGCTGGCAGAAAATAATGCTGCAGGGAATGACAGTGAAGATAAAAGTTCCCAGGAATCCTCTTCGCTTGAAAACATCAATCTATTTAAAGATTATTCCAAGGTTAAACCATCAAACACACAACACTTATCAACCAAGTCTAGTTCTCCACAAGGTCCTAGCAAAGGACCACCAGTGCCTTCCAGATATTCTTCCAGGCAAAGTAAACCCAGTGGTATGAGAACGTCCAATTGGATCCGTTGGCCAATGCACCTTTTACGCTGGACCCTGTGAGTATAATTATTGTACAGTATTTCTGAAGGTTTGTCGTGTACTACTTGGGTGCTGCTTCTGTATTAAGGGAGATTTTGAAAACATCTTTATATATCATTGTACATACATGTAGCGTGTAAATAATTTCAGGTGTTAAGATTCTAAAAATACAGTAGTGATACAGGCAAACATACGTTAGCGAGCATCTCTCTATAAAAAGACTACCTGCCCCAATTTACAGTGTGCAGTGACCTGTATAAGATCTCCTGACACTGGTTTGGTCAAATAAACCAAAGAACCAAATTGGTGGACAATAACAACACTGACTCATTCAATTTAATCAAAACAATGAATTGTATTTCTATCTGCCTTTCATTTTATCTATTGACAAATTGACCATTAAACTGAGAAATCATTTTCATACGTAGATTAATTAATCAACCTCCATATAAAGACCACCTGTCTACAAAGGTCAATTTCTCTTACCTTGGGTGGTCACTATATACAGGTTAGATTGTGATACTCTAAAAGACCACATAGACTTGACTGCTATTGATGCATGTTCTGTGGGTATACATGTAACGTGAGGTGACCCTCATTAAAATCATGTTCATTTCAACCTACATCATTTCCTAGACACTGTAAAATTTCTGTGTATATATACTAAGATTTGAATATACAAAGATAGCCCACAGTGAAGTAAAATAGTCATTTGTGTTTCAAAGTCACCAGGGATTTTTTTAGCTCCGCTGTCGACTTTGTCGAGCGGAGCTTATCATATGAGTGATTGTCCGTCGTCGTCGTCGTCCG